TCACTTATGGGCAGTCTCATTTTAATTACTGAAATTTATAAATAAGCACATACGTCGTATTGTATTGTGACAAGTGACCTACTCTCTCCGGCCATTTTGCCTTGGTGACGTCACGACCGCCAATCCCAATACCAGACCATACGTGACGTAAACTATAAATTTTCAGTACGCAGTGAATATCGAAACGCAAAATGCAAGTGATGTCAGTTATGACTGTATTTGTATGATTTGTGTTTGCGCATATCAGTGCGCGATATCGTATAAGGTACAATACATGCACACATATACAGTAATTGCAGTGAAGTTATTTTGTCTTTAATCAGTTTAATCCTTTGGTTTCTGCCAATATCGCTAAGTATTTGCATCACACTGCGATTAACGAGTAAAATGTTTGGTAAGAAAAAAGAGCAGCCGAAACAGCCTAGGCCAGTTGGTGGCTTAGAACAGGTATTGCTTTAGTCTTTTTTAATAAGTATATTGTGCAAGATTTCTTCTTTCTGATTATTTTTTTTAGGAACTTAAAGTTTACATTACATTTTGGGTTATAAGTTTAGTTTTTATGGTTAGAAATATGTAAACGTGATACATCTTTATTTTATGATTTTGGTTTTTATATGTATATGGTATTTTATGACGGATTATTATTTATCTTTTTCACTTATAATGGTCATGCTTTATATAGTACGGCATTTTTGAAGTACCTGATATAAATATTGGCAATATTAATGATAATGTGATGGAAGATGACGATAATGACGAAAGTTTGGAAGCTGAATTAGCTGCTTTGGCGGCTGGCAATGATACAGGTTACAAAAGCAGACGCAGCGGTAAGTTAGCTTTACAAATCGTGTATTTTATAGGTGTTTCTTAAGAGAAGTCTACAAGATTTTAAAATATATCATTCAATGATATTATAAATGTACAAACAATATAATTTAAGTAGTATTATTATATTACTTATATTATTAATTATATTAGACACAGCAATTTTGAACAATTAGTTTTGGAAAAATGGATCTGAATATAATCTAGGGATATATATCAATAACAGACAAATAATAAAAGATTAAAAGATTAATTCTTCCTGAGTCATTATGAAGATGTCTAAAAATATAAAATGATACCCTTAAAATTTTTGTACGGTCGTGATTGATTTCTTCTTATACATATAAATTCTAATTATAAAAGCAAGAAAAGTATCTTCCAAATTATCTAAAGAAGTATAAAAATAAATAACAAAAGTTTGCTCTCTAATAATAGTTGCAACTTCACAAAAGTCATAGATGTAATCTCTATATTCACATCTTTTTTTGAGCACAGACTTCTGCATAGTGCATAATGCATGACACATAAGGAAATGACCTAATCCTCTATTTTTATCTCCACTATGGAAAAGAAGGTCTCTGATTGGTTCATTTCCTTATACGTTATACATTATGCAGAAGTCTATATTCTTCGCTTAACTTTTGAATTAAAAGTAGCATAATCTGTATTACATACTCGTAAATTATATATATGTATATATATATATATATATATATATATAATATAAACGTATAAATAAAATTAGTTGCACGCAAAGCTATTAATGATGTAAACTTGGATGAAATGGTAGCTGATTGTATGAAGGATACAAATTCTGATGAAGAACCATCTGAAGGAAATGATGATCCTGCATTATTGGTACGTCATGTAATACCTAGTAATATTATATTACTATTTATATAATATGAAGTTTAATTATATTTAAAATTATTTCTTTGGTTTAGAAAGAGTTGCAGATGCTCACAGGAAATGAAACAGAAAGGACAGAGACGCCAGAATTAATCAAAGAAGAAGAAGAAAAAGCAGAACACGGTGAACATGAATCTACTGAAACTAAAGAGGAAAATAGTTTTATGCAAGAATTGATTCAATTATTGCAAGAGAGACTAAAAATTTATGAAATAGCTGAGGAAAAGGCCAAAAGAAAAGATGAGACTGGTAGAGCTAGAAGGTATAACAGAGGTGTAAAAACACTGAAGGAGATGTTGGTTTCTGTTCAATCAGGTAGAAACATAAACGAAGCTGACATTCCTCCAGCTTTGTCTCCTTCAGCTATTGCTGAACCTACTGTTAAAAATATAGGTAGTATATATTCCTTTATGCTTGTTTTCTTATCGATATCTTATCTTTCTTATTTGACTATCTGTAATTGGGCTTATAAACTCCTCACAAAGGTTAGAGGAACACTAAATTTTTCTTAAAAAATAGGCAAAATTCAAGCAACTGTAACTTCGTTAAAAATGAACGAAATTTAAGTTAAAAAACGCTTTGCGTATACTTGGCGCGAGACACTGCCATGTCTTTTGATATAGAAAACTACGAGCTGGACAAAATGGAAAATTTTTTTCTCACCTTGTGGACCTGTTACGTGCACAAAAAAAGTTGCAAAAATTTTCGACTTTTTAACATAAAAGCTTGAAGTTTTTCTTGCAAAATCTTTTTTTAAAAGTGTTTCAACGATTTTTCGTTATTGAGTTATCACGGGTTGAATAAGAAATGAGCATTTTGACTTTGATTGCTCATAACCTCGTTAAAAATCATCGTACCGCAATTAAAAAAGCATATTCTTAAAACTGAAATTTTGCTCTATTGAATGGTATAATTGCCAAATTTTTTAAAAATAACATGTAGACATGATACAAATGAATGAAAATGATGTAAAAATTAACAATTTTTCCCTTTTTTGACCCAGAAAACAATTGTGCAGAACAAATTCTTTACGTTTTTTTATACTTTTAAATACTCCGTTTAAAAAAAATTTGCCAAATAGCTATGAAATTTTTTTTCAGGGTATGCAAAATTGAAGTTTCGGGAACTGTTAGGGGAACGAATAAATCTTACGTATTCTTACGTACTTTGAGTTGTACAATCCGAAAATGGCCATAAAAATTACGTCTACAGCGAGAAAAACGTGAAAAGTAAAGAAAAAAAAAAAAAAAAAAAAAAGTGAAATTGTTTAAATCCCCAGACGTCATTTTCTTACGTTTTTTTAATGTATTTTGAATCTTCCCAGATAGCTAGCTCAAGATTTTGAGCAAAGTTTTAGCTTTAAGAATTTGTTTTTTGAATTGCGGCACAATGATTTTTAACGGAGTTATGAGCAAATAAAGTCAAAAAGCAAATTTCTTAATCAACCCGCGATAACTCGATAACAAAAAATCATAGAAACATTTTAAGAAAAGATTTTGTAGGGAAAACTTTAAGCTTTCACGTTAGAAAGTCGAAAATTTTTACAGATTTTTTTTGTGCATGTGACAAAAAGTAAGAAGAAAATTTTCTATTTTGTCCAGTTCGTAGTTTTCTATATGTAAAAATTATGTAACTCACAGAAACTAAAAGAATAATAGTGATTTTTTGAAAGTAGAGATTTTAAGCTTTAAAATATTTTTTTAAACTTAAATTTTGTTTATTTTGTTTCCTTATAGAGGAAGCTTTGTTTTCGTAAACCTCGTGTATGGACTTTTGATCGCGTATAAAGCTAGGTCTAATCAACCAAATTTTAAAGAATTATATAAGAAATAGGGGTAGAAAAGACCGAAGAAAAAATTGTTTTTTTAGTCTTTGATTCTAATGTGTTCTGAATGTTCTAAAACGTCAGAAAATTGCCTTAAAAAAATGTCTCTTGTGTGTATGTGTGTATGTATGTACACATTTATTCATAACTCAAGAACTAATCAACCAAATCTTAATGTATTATTATACATATATTAAATAGGGATAGAAGAGACTAAAGAATATAATAGAATTAGAAAAATTGCTTATAATATAATTTCTATTTTAAAAAATCTACGTGATTGCTCTAATTCCTGCAAATTTTGAGATATCAAGCTAAATTTTTTTATGGATAGAGTTTTGGCAAAGATCGGTGAAGAAGTTACCGATTTTTGCATAAAAGTGTAAGTTATATGTGTAATTTTATATAAAGTATCATTAAAGAAAGTCATTTTTAAGGAAGGTTGGTATTGAATTTGGCGAGGATCGGTGAAGGGATTACCGAGTTTTTGCCTATGTAGCCTGAACTTCTAAAGTCAACATCGATTTGACACTGCGCCGATTGTAAAACCCCACTTGTACTATTAAGCTAACCCTCTATTATTCATAAAAAGATTAAATTTAAAATTAAAAAAAGTGTGCAAATTAGGAACTTGCACATTGCTTCCTTCTCATTACAGATCGCTACCATTGCTCCTATTTTATTTCGCTCATAAAGCTTCTATGAGGAAGCCAAACTAATAAATACTAATAATTATGCATCGAATAAAATACAAGTTTCCTCATAAGAGGCAGAAATCGGTAACCCTTTCACCAATCTTCGCCAAATTCAAAACAACCTTCCTTTAATGAAACTCTATATATGAGATTACACGTATAACATGTACACTTTTTAGGCAAAAATCGGTAACCCCTTCATCGATCATTGCCAAATTCAACACCAATCTACCTTTAATGATACTCTATCCATAAAAAAAAATTAAGCTCGATATCACAAAATTTGCGGAAATTAGAGTAATTATGTAGATTTTTTTTAGATAGAAATCGGTAACCCCTTTATTATTAGCACTTTTTCTAATTTTATTATATTCTTCAGTTTTTTCTACTCCTATTTCATATATATTTCTTTAAGATTTGGTTAATCAGTTCTTGAATTATAGAAATTTCGGTAAATTTGGCACATACATACACACATATGGACATTTTTTAAAATTACGATTTTCCGACGTTTTAGAACATTCTGAACACATTGGCATCGAAAACTAAAAAAAACAATGTTTTTTTCGGTTTTTTCTACCCCTATTTCATATATAATTCTTTAAAATTTGGTTGATTAGACTTAGCTTTATATGCGATCAAAGGTCCATACACGAAGTTTATGAAAACAAAGCTTCCTTTATGAGGAAGCAAAAGAGTGTGCAAAATTAAGAAAATTTTGTGTTCAAAATCAATCGTTATGAAACTTGACACGGACATAATATGAGGTAAAATATGAAGAACTTTAACCAAAATCGAATGGCTGAATCCTGGGACATTCCCACTACTTTTACCGTATGCTATCGAGGCCGCTTTCTGGCATCACTGATTCAGCCTGTCAATTGCCAACGGTTATTTAGTGGGTCATTCACGAACAATGTTATTCTATTGCCAAAGTGAGATTGTATGAATGGCAAATGAACACTGTTGTCAATGCCGCCACCGGACTCATTTTCTGGTTTTTGACCAAGATCCACTCATTTAGCCATTCGATTTTGGTTGGATTTCTTCATATTTTACTTCATACTATGTCTATGTCAAGTTTCATGACAATTGATTTTGTACCACAAAATTTTCTCAATTTTGCACACTCCTTTGATGAGAATATGGAACATGACGTTTTGTATTTTAATAGTTTCATTCGTGAACAAATTATTAATAGGTTTATTATTATCCAGCTTTTTAAATGTTAATTGGAGATTTGCGATATTGATTTTTATTTCACTAATACTATTTTGTCTACTTTGTAGAAGAAAAAACACCATCACCAATGGAAGTTAGTGAAGCAGTTGCAAAATCGAATGTAATCTCAAATGATGATAATAACCCTTCTGAACCACTGGCAGACGTCATAGTTGATCAAGAAGCTTTGGATAAATTAAAAGTACAGCAACAAAAATATAAGACTGCAGCAATTGCTTGGAAGAAAGCGGGCAACAAAGAACAAGCACTACAATATGTAAAAACTGTAAAACAATTTGATATAGTTATTGCTGCAGTTGCTGCAGGTGAAAAGCTTGATTTATCAGATATGCCACCTACTCCAATTCTACCTTCTCCAACTAATACTGCAACACCAGCTGCAAAAGAAGAAAATGAAATTCAACAGCAAGCTTCTACAGGTAAGATGTAGAAATTCGTTAGATTGCAAAACCTTTTAAAAATTGTCGCATAGTAGTATTATGATGCGTGGATATGTATTATTATTGATTTGTGCTTTTGTAATGAAAAAATATAGTAAAAATATATTTACGAATTTATTTAAATTCTTGATAATCATTTATATTAGGGGATACCTTTCCAATAACTTTGATCTTGATATATACTTGGTAGGGATCAAGAGACACGGTAGTGTCTCGCGCCAAGTACACGCGGAGCGAGACCGACCGTGACTCTTTTACGCGACGCGACGATTTGCGAGTACTCGAGATGTTGAGATCTCGATAACGAGTGAATGGATCAAGTTCCAAGTAGGCTTGATCGATAGCTTGGGGTACTGATTAACATTATGTCTTAATTAACGGTTACATACAGTTCTCTACATTTATTGAGATATACTATTTACATAAGTGTTAAAAATTTAAATTTTCCATTATATAAATTAATATATCATAAATATTTCTGATAATATGTTATCAAAATTGCCATTTTGAGTATGTTACAATTTGTCTTGTGTATTGTTGATTTATTAAAAAATTATGAAAGAAATGAAAAGAAAGTCCTAAACTAATGGAAATATTGTATATTATAATTAACCCTCCGTCTGTAGTCGGTTTTTTCAGCCTCGGCGTGTAAACGTGGGTCTGTCATGTTTGACGCTATTTTTTTTCTATCTTAAAGTATTTTAAAAAATCTGAAAAAACTCACAAAACATCTGTCTAATTGCAGTTGATGATTTTATAGTTATTTTGATAAATATCGTTTATTTAATATTTTCTGGTAGGCTTGCAGTTTTACAGTTATGAGCAAATTTCATTTTGGCTCGAATGCCGTAGACCCATATTTATAGATGGAAGGTTAATTCGGTTTTAACATAAATTTTTATTAAACGGTCTGATAGATAGTGGGATACTTTCTTTGTAAACTTTTTGAATTTTTGCAATATCTTCAAAATTGAAGAAAATATAGTACACGAAAATGTGCTGTGACGTCATACCTTATATGCGAAATCTTTTGAAGTTGCCGTCATCAAAGAAACTTTAGCAAGCTATAACTTTCTCAAATTTAGGTTTTTTTTTAAATTTAAAAAGTACTAAAAATTGGCTTAGATTCTTTACATTAACCCTTACTTGCCACACTTCTGTAGACGTCACGTACTTGCCACATTGGGGTGGAATCTACCCCAGCGACAAAAATTGTTATAACAAATAAGCTATTCAATATTTTAACTTGCCAATTTTTTTAGAACTTCTTAAAAGCTTACTTTTAAAAGTGATGTAGGTTATATAGCCAAAAATTAAAATTATGTATGATAAAAAAATTAAAATAGCCCCAAAAAAATGAAAAAATGGCTGTTTTTACAAAAAAATTCATTATTTTTTTATTTTTTCATAAAAATGGCTAAAAATTTAGGTGAGTCTTCTACTGATGTAGTACTACAAGAAAAAAAATAGTAGTTTAGTGGCCCTTTAAAAAAAGGTATTTATTTTGAGAAATGAAGGAGTTTCGTGAAAAAATGAACTTTGCGTTATCATCAAAATATGCTATAGTATTTATTATTTAATCAAACTTTCATGTTATAAACAATAAAATACACTTTACTTTCAACACTGACTTCAATATCATCATCTTCGAGTAACTCCTCGAATACTCGCCGAGGCCGTAAATTATACGCCATCTAATATACCGTAAAAAAAAAAATTAGACATAGTATAACATGATGTACTAACCTTGTTCTTCACTCTGATGTCGAAATACAGTGCAAAAAAAATTCACTGAAATTTCAAGAATTTAGCCTTACTTGTCACACTGGGGTGCAGGTGATCCCACTGCGCTTTGGACCGACTGCCACAGACAGACTAAAGGTGGAAGCACATAAAATTGCAGGAGCCTTGAGCAGAATGCAGAAGCCATATGCGCATGCGCTATGGTATTTGTAGAGCT